CTGTAAGTCATGTAGGCATCTAGGAATTAGAAACTCATACCAGGAAAGTCAGGTCTGGAGAATGCCGGGGCTAGAGTGGAGCAGGAGCAGGTATTGAAGCTGGGCACGGGAGCGTGTGCCATGTGGGTCTGGACGCAGTGCTGCTCATGGTTGGGTTGCACTGTGGGGGCGGAGGAAGAGCTGTGGGATGCGGGATGCGGGAGTCGGGCGCCAGAGGTGGGGCCAGGTCTGAGGACTGCAATACCTGTGCAGGTCTGCGTTTTCACAGTGATGTATTAAATTGTCCCTTTGGGTCAGTTTTTGTTTATTTCATTTTATTTTTTAAAAAAGATTTTAAAAAGATTTACAAGGGCTGTGGGTGTAGTACCGTGGTAGAACACTTGCTCACCATGTGTGAGGCCTTAGGTTCTCTCCCTGGCACCACAAATAAAATAAAAATTCAGCATGTGTTCTCTCCCTGGCACCACAAATAAAATAAAAATTCAGCATGCGTGAGGCCTTAGGTTCTCTCCCTGGCACCACAAATAAAATAAAAATTCAGCATGTGTTCTCCACATGCCCTGGACCCAGGTTCTGAAGAGCTCCACCTATGAGTACATGCAGCTTTGAGGGGACATCTGGATACAAGCCACAACACTGATTCCACACGGACCCACATGATAGGAGCACACTTTTAAGAGTATTCTGAAGCAAATCAGAAACTTTAGAAAAGTCTTTCTAACAAGCCAAGGTGTTCTTCGATGTCTGTTGATCCTTTGTTTTCCATTAATATGTACAAGTAAACAAAAAATTATTTTTGGAATTGGAGTGGCTAGTTTTACTGAGAGTAATTGGACATGTTAACTAGGACTCTTCAATTTAGAAAAAGCCTTTTTTTTCCACCTAGAGCATGAATGACTGTTGAGTACATGCAGATGTTTATCTCAAGTATTTCAGCCTGTGTCTTAATCCCCCCTCTGGTTAGCTCCATACTGCTTAGTCTTGAACTAATCTAGTTAGGACTTTTGTCTGTAATCCCTTTCTGTTTATTCTAGCATGTGACTGCCTTTGTCTTGGTTGTCTCAGTTACTTCTCCTTTGAGTCTTCCAGAAATTTGTTGAAATCTTTTGCTAAGGACTTCTTCTGTTCCGTTACTGTAGATTTTTATGTTCCCCTCCTTGTTTACTGTCATTTTAAAGGGAAAGGGAAGAGATAAACAAAAGGGTCATTTTTTTTTTTTTTTTGGTCTTTTTCTTTTTTATCGGTACCAGGGCTCGAACTCATGACCGCACACTTGCAAGAAAGGCGCTTAAGCCACTGAGCTAAATCCCCAGGCCCAGGGTCATTTTTTTAACTACAGTGCACTGTGATTCTCTGAGTGGATAAGGATTTAGAATATAGCTTTACAAGGAAAATTTGCTATTTCAGAGGTAGTATTCTTACTATGCTTGCATTTAGATGGTGTGAGTCCCAGCTTTATTTCAAATTGGCTTTGTGATCTTAGGCACATTGTATAGTATGGGATCTTGTAGTACTGAATTTTTATTTTATTTGTGGTGCCAGGGAGAGAACCTAAGGCCTCACACATGCTGAGCAGTGGTCTACCACGGTACTACAACCCCAGCCCTTGTAATATTTTACATATTGTAGAACAATGGCTTTTTTTTTTTTTCTAACAGAATAAACAGAATAACAGACATCAGAATAAACAGAATAACAGACATCAGAATAAAGCACGTCTTACTTCCTAACTCTATTCCCATATACAAGTCAATGAAATAATACCCAGGCGTGGTTGGTTCCTTTTAAACTCTAGCTCTTACCCACTGATATGGTTTCCCTGTATGCCAGTCATTTGCAACTCATACTTTGAAATACAGAGATGTAGTTTTCTTTATTTTTTTCCTTTCTTTCTCCTTCGTCCTTCTCCCCTCCCCTCTTCAATACAGCAGTCAGATACTTTGTAATTGTCACTTTCCTTCTTTTAGCTAATTCTGATTTGATTTCGGATTTTTGTGTATATTTGATCTTGTAAACACTCTTAAAATGAAATGTTTTTCATGCCAGGTTGTGTGCAGAATAGGCACATACTCATCGTATATGTGGTAAATGGCAGTATCTTTGGCATTTTGCCTGACAGCATTATCCTATTATGTTTTTATCTTGTCTTCCCAGCTGCCTTTAATCTGTTGAGGATAGGAAATCATCTCTAATTTTCAGAACCTGTTTCAAAGGGTTGTGAGTGTTAATTAAATTAGTACATAAAAACCCTTAGAGGATACTGTTACTAGACAAGAGGAAGGGAAGAAAGGGGAGACAGCAGTGTGAGAAAAGCCAGCGAGGCAGTGGCTGTGAGCAGAATGTCATATGCTTTGCCTGAAGATAAAACTGTGACTGAGAACAAACCAAGTGAACCTTGTCATGGAGGAATGTTAGCGATAGCACTATATTGTATTATATACCACAGCGGACTGCCCAGGAGCGATTGTATACTTACTGGAAAGGTTAGATAGGAAAAGATTTTTACTCTGTAATTTAGATTTGGAAACTCCTATTTTAACCAGGAGACAAAGAAGGTAAAATATTAACTGCCTTTCTATATATTTCTAATGTTTGGAAAAATACTATGTGACCTGTCCAACTTATTAATTAGAGAAATGCTGAGATGCAGTTGTTAGAGGGAAAAAAAAGTTCAAATCTTTAGGCTGAGAGATGGATTACTGTATAAAAAGTTATGAAAACCATTAATTTATACTTGGAGAAGACCCAGGAGCTAGGTGCCCAGTAACATCCTTTTAAATAAAATATATAAGGAGCTTACAAAAAGCAGTAATGTCTATTTTCTGGTTTTTCTAAAGTATCAAGAATAAGGAGACTCTATTAGTCAAAATCAGCTAGGTGTCAATATTAGAAGATATTTTATTAATTGAAATTAAATGCATGTAACTTTTAACTTGGAAGTAAAAACTCCAAAAGACTTAAGGAAAGGGCTGCTTGAAACACAACTGATGTAGCAGAAAATGAGCAGATTCTGCTTCAAACGACTGATAGTATTGAGGGTCCTGAGCACGAGGCTGGTTATGTGTGTATGTATCAAATGAGGCGTCATCTCACCCCCCGATGGAGTGAAGTTCAGTGCAGGGGCCACTCAGTATTAAAACATAGATGCAAATCTAATGGTCTTTCTACAAAAGGGTACACCAAAGTCTTCCCACTTCAAAATAGCTTCAAAGAAGGTGGCTCTGTGTCAAAAACTTACATCGCAGCAATAGTCAAAATGTCATGTCCTTTTAATCAATACTACAAGGTCTGTAAGTGCCAGTCTTAGGAGAGTAGACCTCAGCCTACCTGTACCAGAGGTCCATTGTGGATTTTGGAAGAGATAATGGACAAGTTCTCTGTAAGTGTAGAGCTAACTTACAAGAAGGTTTTACTGGCACAACCATAGATGGGCTGCAGCAAATTCAAACTGTATTTAAAACCTCTGCTTTTTACTTTAAAATTCATAATTCTTCCAAGGAATTATACAGTTCTTTATAATATACTCAAAATATGTTTCAAACTATGTAGTAAAACTGACCAATGAAGTGCTTGGCCTGTGTCTGTAGTCTGACTTTGGATGAGTTAATGTAGAAAAGCTGACCTACTTTCTTTTAGCTATACCTTGTCTAAATCAGTTTGAGGACCACAACGTGAGCACAACTGCTCAGTGATCTTACTAGTTTCCTGTCCCAGAGAAATTTAAAAAGTATATATTACGTTATCATCTTTGTGAAGATTTTTACCTGTGTCTTCATAAAAGAGAGGGTACTAGTTTTAGTGAGAGATTAGTTTTGCATAATGTGAGCTTGAAAATGTGTGGATTAAAACATTTAATCTCAGTAGTATAATTAGGAATTTAGGTAGTTAAGCTAGTTGATGGCTGTTGCTTATAAATTTGAAGGTTCACATTCAAATTGTTATCTTTTTAAACTTTGGAAGCAAAAAGTGGTCATACATTTGTTTGAATCAAATTAAAATAATGTGCTCATATTTCTGTAATAAATAACTGAAACCATGAACCTTTATTGAGTGCCTGTGATGTACTAGGCACAGTGCTAGACTCTATGAAGAGAGGAGAGAGTAAGATAAATAGTCTGGTTCCTGCCTTTAGGGGCCTGGCCTCAGAGTCTAGGTAAGCTGGACATGTGACGTGTAACTGCCATAAAAGACGATGTGTATGATGCACAGTACAGAGGTGTGCAGCTGAAGCGCTTCCCAGTGCAGGAGCAGCCAGCAGGTTTAGCTTCAGCTCCATGAGGAAAGCTGGGAAGGAACTTAATAAACAGAAGGGTCACGGATGCATAGAGCTCCCAGGATGAGAATGCAGAAAGGTGTTCAGCAGAGGAAGCAGCGCGCAGTCTTCAGGAAATTGGTTTACCCAGGGTGGAGCGGCTGTTGCGAAGAGTTGAGAGATGACTTACTCGTGTGTAGCTGTACGTGGTGTACAATCCAGAGGGCTTTGAACTTCATTCTCTTAATTTCTTAGTGCCACTGCAAAGTATTGAGTGTGATCATACTGATTCGGATTTTAGTAAGACTTTAGTCTTTTCAGTAGCTTGGAAGATAAATTGGGATTGATAGTGGTTGAGGTTGAGCAAGCAGAACAATTAGAGTGTTGTTATATCCAGATGAAGGATGATGAGTGTCTAAAATTACAGTGGAAATGATAAGAAAAGGATAGATTACAGGTATGTTAAACAAAGTCAGTCGGGGCTGGGGATTTAGCTCAGCGGCATAAGCGCCTGCCTTGGAAGCAGGCAGTCGTGAGTTCAATCCCTGGTACCGATAAAAAAAAAAAGAATCAGTACCATTTCATGTTTGATTGTAGGCAATGAGAAAAATCCAGTATAAATCCCTAAATGGTAGGATTAAATGGGTAAATTTACCAGTAGGTTTCTGAGGTTTTATTTCATGAGTAACTTGTATAAAATTATATACAAAGGTAACTTCTAATAGAATTTTTCTCTTTTTATTTATAGATGCCACTTCAAATGAACAACAAGAGCTTTTCTGCCAGAAGTTGCAGCAGTGTTGTGTGTTGTTTGATTTCATGGACTCTGTTTCAGACTTGAAGAGCAAAGAAATTAAAAGAGCAACCCTAAATGAACTGGTTGAGTATGTTTCAACTAATCGTGGTGTAATTGTTGAATCAGCGTATTCTGATATAGTAAAAATGGTAAGCCTCTGGACTTCTGTTCCTCAGATTTACATAAATTCTAAGTAAGATCTGAGGAATAATTATGAACTGAGACTGATTTATGATAGGTTACAATAATGAACAGAATGGTGTTTTTAAAATCCCCCTAGGAAGATTTTCCATCCATTTACTAATGTACAGTCCTTGCTTCCAGGAATTTGAGAATTCGGTAGCCAGAGTGGTTAGGGGCTGCCATCTCACGCAGTTCCTGAGCCGCTGGGGAAAGCTACAGGCTCAGAATTGCATGATAATTTCATGGGAGGAAGGGGTCAGTTTTCACTGAGGAAGCCTGCGGAGGAGGAGGAAAAGACCAGTGAAAAACTGGCACTGCATAGCTAAGCAGGGTAAGAGAGGTTAAAACAAATCCTATTTGGAATACGTTAGTATCATACTTGTAGATTATAAAACTTGAAATTTAGGACCTTTAAAAAGTAAAATGATACTCATAATAGAACATCCTGGTCCAGAAGTTCAGAATCTGAAATGCAGAACTTCTTGAGCACTTACAGAACTCCATAGGCGGAAAATTTCATACCTGATCTCATGTAACAGGTTAAAGTCAAAAAGGTACCAGAAAAATATTGTATCAGTTTACCTTCAAACTATGTGTATTAGGAACATATGAAACATAAATGAATTTTGTAGTTAAACTTAGGCCCCTTTCTCAAAATATCCCATAAGATATATGCAAATATTCCAAAGTCCGAAATACGTCTCATTCGGGGCAGTTCAGATGAGGGACACTCAGCCTGTGTAAATAAATGTCTAATGTCAGGAATTGGTCACAGCTAGTGATGGATGTGAGGTTGCTTAAGATGCTGTTGATTAGTAATTCTTCCTCATTCTTCATCAAACAGTAGAAGTTGGTTTAATATTTGGGATTTTTGTATTTTGTTGCATGCTAATAAAATACAGAAATTCATCTGGAGTAATTTGAGTTGCAGAATACATAATTTAAACTTATCCCAGAAAATAGAAACTAACAGTAAGTATAACCTACACAGCTCACAGCTTTCATTTTTTTTCTTTTCTTTTTTTTTTTTTTTTTTTTTGGTCTTTTTCCTTTTTATCGGTACCTGGGATCGAACTCATGACTGCCTGCTTGCAAGGCAGGCGCTTATGCTGCTGAGCTAAATCCCCAGCCCCCACAGCTTTCATTTCTTTCCCCTTCCATAGTATATGTCCTAGGGGAAGAGCAAAGTACATGATTGGAAAAGTAAATTTGGTGCTAACAAACTAGGTTTTCTTTCATCACACTAAAAGGTCTGTCCAAAGGATTTAGGTAAGTTTGTGTATTTTTAGAAGAAAAGCCTTAAATTTTTTAAAAGACAAGCTCTAAATAGAACATTAATCAAAATAAATTTAGTTTCCTTTGCTCCACAAATTATAAAAAGGTGGTGCATTTGAGAATATAAGTATTAAAAATTCGATGGACCTCCTATTTAAAAATAAATATATAAAATAGTATTCCTACTGTGACTGATTTCAAATGGTTTGGTTGTTTTTTTTGTTGCTGTTTTTGTCTTTTTTGGGAGTCTCACTATGCAGTTCAGACAGGCCTTGAACTCACAGTGCAGCCCAAGCTGGCCTTGAACTTGCAGTGATCCTCCTGCCTCGTCAGATCATTTCTGTTCAGGAATTTTAAAAATCAAAGGAGGATATTTTATTTTTCATCTTTATAAAGTTGTCCATAGGCACTGAAAGTTCTTAAGTATTTGAGTCATATTACTCTGTATAGATTAATAAATTATAGGATTTAGTTTACCCATATGTGTACTTTTTTTTTTTTTGTCTTTTTTATCGGTACCGGGGATCAAACTCACGAATGCCTGCTTGCAAGGCAGGTGCTTATGCCGCTGAGCTAAACCCCCAGCCCCTACTTTTTGTTTTTTAAACTTTTGGATACTTTATATTTAGTTAAGAGTTTAGCCATCTACACTTAAATTTTTAAAAGACCTTCTGAATATCTGTTGCATACAGATAATTTTACTCATGGCTACAAAATTAACTTTTTTTTTACTACTGACAACTGTGAGATACATTTCTTTTTTCAACTTCTTTCTGTGACTTTACTGAAATTGGTGTGCATCAAATGGTTTATTGGTTTTACCTGTAGATACTGGCTTTTGAGTTGTAACTGATCAAATTCTAGGTTCTTAAGCTCTGAGTCTTAGTCATAGTAACACTATCTACAGTCGTTTGTCTACCATTATAGCTGCTTGGTAAGAGTAGTTGGAATCCTGTTTATAAAAACATGGCTCCTGGAGACTTTATTTCAAGTGATCAGCCCCTCCGTATTTCACCTTAAATGTTTACTGACCTGTTTGGTCAGTCAGTCATTATTAAAAGAATTGTTGGTTGGGACCCCAGTCTGTTTTTGCTGGTGAGGAAGAACATATGATTACCTTGGTACTGAAATAGGTGATACAGACAGTTAAATTATAAATACCACATTTCACTGAGTCTGCAGTGAATATCAGAGTATATCCTGATATCAGAGAGATTAATATGTTTTTAAAAAGTCTCAGAGTAGATGAAATGCAGTATAAAATAGTGAAAGCCTTTTCTGCCACCCTCTCCTCCCCCTCAGTTTGATATGTATGTACTACTGTATTTTACCACCTTGTCTTGTGTTATAACTATAGAATATTGTTGCATTAGAATATGGCAACAATTGTGAAAATGTGATAAGAATCAAGTTAAGAGATAGGCGAAATTAGTAATTTTTCCCTTTCCCTCCAAATTCTCTCTCTTCCCTTCAGTCATTTTAAGCAAGTCTTGGAAAGAATAACTCGTAGTTTAAGAAAGGTCTGTAGATGCCATCTCAAATCTTTAGCAGTAAGGTGTAAGGAAGTCAGAGTTACTGGGCAGAAAAGACAAACTCTGCTCCCTTATAGCTTAAAGAGAGTTCCAGGTTTTGAACTAAATTCATAACCACAACTTAATATTGTTCTTTCTTTTTTTTTTTTTAACATTTTTTTCTACTTTTTTATTTAAAAAAATATCAAAATTTCAAAACAAGATAATGGGAGAGTAACAATGGTTAGTACATTATATATTGTTATCTTTAAATTAGTTACTCAGAGTACAAGATACAGACCTTAATTGTCCCAGGAATATTCGTACAAACCTTTTCAATGAACTAAGAGAAATTAGTAGTATAACTATCTTAACTATCATATGTGTGTGTGTATGTGTCTATGTGTATGACATACATATATTTTTTTCTTTTCCCTTCCTTTTCGCCTCCTGTTCCAGTTGTTCTGTCCTTGTGAACAGTTTCTTCCTATTTTACAATATCTATTGTACATTTTGAATCTTATTTACTCTTTCAGCTTCGCACATTAGGGAGACAATACAGTGTTTAGACGTGCGTCTGGTTCCTTTGATTATGGTCTCGAGTTGCATCCATTTACCTACAAAGGTCAAGAGCTTATCCTTTTTTATGGCTGAGTCCCATTGCATAAGAAGACCACATCTTTTTTATTCATTCCTTGGTTGATGGGCATTTGAGTTGTTTCCAAGATTTAGCTATTACAAATTTTGGGGTTATAAACATGGGTGCACATATATCACTGTGGTATGATGTTTTTAATTCTTCTGGGAAAATACCCAGAAGGAATGGCTGGGCCAAATTAAACATTTTTTTTAGAGTACTCTTTAAAATATTTTACATTGTGAAATTCAGTTGTACAACAAAGAATGTAAATCTAAATTTACTTTTCTTTACAGATCAGTGCTAACATCTTCCGTATTCTTCCTCCAAGTGATAATCCGGATTTTGATCCAGAAGAGGATGAACCCACGCTTGAAGCCTCTTGGCCTCACATACAAGTATGAAACATAATTGTGCACTGACAGTTTCTACAGATCAGTATTCTGAAGTCATGGTTCTCTCTTTTTAGATTCTAAGTATTATTTTAAAGTATTTGACTTTTAGTATGTTCTTCATATTATCTTCCCCAAAATACTTTTTTGTTTTTTGCTTTAAACAGTTTATTTAACTGAAAATAAATAAATGGACTTCCATTTATTTAATTGAAGTGGCTTCCGTTTTATTTTGATACATTTTTTGCTCATGTTGATTTACAGGATCTCAAAGCCAATATAAATATTTCATAACTATTTGGCCGTTTGGATATACACCCACACAATACCTCAGCAGTATCTTTCAGCAAGAAAAACACTGAAGAGTAAAAGCCTAACACAGTTAACTAGGGAGAGTAAAAATCTGCTCCAAATATTTATTTCTGAGGTAAGGGTACCACACACCTAAAAAAGCCATCCTTACAACACAGGGTGATTTTTTTTTTTTTTTTTTTTTTTTTTTTTGACTAGGGCCCAGAACACTTGGCCGCCAGGTGGGTGCTGAAGGGCAGAGCTGCACCCCGTCCTATGCCCTGAACTCACAGGGAGTGGGTTCTGGCGACCCAGGCTCCTTCCCCTTGCTTCTCATGAAGTGCATGTCTCTGAGCAGGGCAGGCTGGTGCTCAGTGGAACCCCGCTACCTTTCTCTGTGGCTTCCTTCTTTTTCTGATCATTTCCCTTGACAGGTTTTGGATGCTTTTACAACTCTCCAGCTTTAATATGCTCAGTGTGCACATTAACCCTCCTGGCAAGTGTCTTGCCGTCACTTGCTTACTGACGACAGTGCCACTAGCTTTCTGGGTAATGCTGTAGATTTCCTGTTTTGCCATGGTGACATTTGTGCATCTTTCCTTTTTGCACAGTGCCCATTCCCTTCATGTTTACAGCATCACTCTTTTTATAGATCTGCACATGTGTGGCCAGAGGACCAACCCTATGTGTTCTAAAGGCTTAGAGAATGTATACCGGGGGCCCCTCCTCTTGCCCTTTCTATTCTTCATTTTGGCAACACTGGGAGACTGTGGTTCAGGCCGAAAGGAAGGCTATACCATGTCTACAGTAACACAATACGTGTAACATCAGCTCAGCCACTCAGAGGGCGTGATTTAGTACAGTAAGCGCAGTCATCACTGTCTGCTTCTGCAGCTCCTCAGGCCTCCAGGGAAACACTCTTGCCTTCAGCCGTTGTTGCTCTTCGCCTCATCTTTCTTACCCCATACCCACTCATTTACTTCCTGTCTTAGTGGATTTGCCTACTCTGTGTATTTTATAGAAATAGAATCATAATATGTAGCCTTTTCTGTCTTGTTCTTAGGTGTACTTTCAAGGTTCATCCATGTTGTAGCATGAATTACACTTCGTGCCTTTGTATGGCTGCAAAATATTCCAATATGTGGATATGCTACATTCCTTTACACCTTTGTCAGTTATATGCTATTTAAGCTGTTTTCACCCTTTGACCACATTGTGACTAGAGCTGTGATGAACATTCATGAACGTGTGTTTTTTTTTAAGATTTCATATGTGATTTGTTTACATTCATCTAAAATAATATACTAATTTCCTATGTGATTCTTTTTGACCATTAGTTATTAAGGAATATACTGTTTAATTTCTACCTATTTATGATGTCGAATTTTCCTGTTACTGGTTTTTAATTTTATTTTTTGGATAGTATGCTTTGTGCGATTTCAGTTCTTCTAAGGGTCGTGGCTCAGTGTACAGTCTATCCTGAAGAGTGTCTCAGCGGTGCTTGAGAAGAGTGTGTGTTCTGTTGTTGGGTGAGGTGATCTGTGGGAACCTGCTAGGCCCAGTTGGTATGTGGTGCTGGGCAAATCCTCTGTTAACCTTATTGGTTTTCTGCCTGTTGAAGTCTCCAGCTGTTATTACTGAATTGCTTATTTTTCCCTGCATCTCTGTAAGATTTTGCTTGGTGTATCTTGAGTTCCAGCTGATAGGTGCATAAATTTATAATTTAAAAATGTCCTTTGTCTCTAGCATAAATTTCTGTGTTAAAGTTTATATTGTCTGATATTCATGTTGCTACTTCACTCTCTTTTGGTTACTGTTTGCGGGGTTTATCTTTTCCATCTTTTCACATTTAACTGATTTGTTTCTTTAAATCTGAACTGTGTCTCTTACAAAGTAGTATATATATGTATATATATATATATGTGTGTGTGTGTGTGTATATATATATAAGTAGATAGTTGGCTCATTCAGAAAAACAATTTTGACAGTCTCTGCCTTTTTATTAAAGTGCTTAACCCATTTACATTTAATTACTGATAAGGTGGGATTTACAGCTGTTATTTTACCATTTGTTTTCTGTCTTTTTAAATATCTTCTTCCTCATGTTTACCTGTTTTATATTAAATAGATATCTTTTAGGGTATCATTTTGAGTTCTTTGTTTCTTTAACTGTATTTTGTGGGGTTAGTTTCTTGGGGGTGGCATAGTATTTCAGTTAGAATTCTAAAACCATCTATTTTGGTTTAATACTTGATTTCAGTAGTATGTAAATCTTTGGTCTGGGGTCCTCCATCGACTCCCTCTTCTGTGGTATTACTGTTGTTATTGTATATACACCTTTATACACTATATTCCCCCCACCATGGTCTTGTAATTAGTTGCTTTGTATGGCTCCCTTATAGATAAGGAAAATAAAAATAAAATTACATTTATGTGTAATTTATTTTTACCTATGTTTTTATGAGGATGCAAGGTCGCCAAGTCCTCATTCTGTCTTTCCAGAAGTTCATCTCTCAAACACATCTTTGTGGCTGAGACTGATGGTCCCCTGTGTGCTATTATGTGGAAAGTCTTCTACCCGCTACTCCCTGGGAAATTGTTAGTAAAACTTACAGTATAGGTAGAGCCAATTCTTTCATTCCGCCTCCGCTAACTGATCCTGTCTAGCTCCAGCTGCTTCATTCCAGCACCGTCAAGTATGTGACTTTAACACAGTACCATCCAGAGGTCACACAGTAGCATCACTCTGAAATGTTCCTGACATACCAGTCATTAGGGTTCAGGTTAGATCTCCTTATCCCACTTGTGCTGTGTTGTGAAACTGTTATAAAAATTCCGTTATAGTCATAAAATACACTTACTTGTGTGTTTCTTTTGCATATATTTTTACAGTCTCTGATGTTTGTAACAGTATACTTTGGGTTTTATTTTTGTTTCCAAAAATATGTAATAAAAATGCTCTGATCATATTCAAGTGGTATGTTCAGTTGAGAGATACTTTCTTATTTTTACAATAATCAAAGCTCTGAGGGACAAACTAAAAGCAGGTCAAGAGAGCTCTTGAATAATGCTTAACATATAATGTCTTTTATATTTTTAAGATAATATTAATGTCCCAAAATCTGCAAGCAAGCACAGTGAAGTGTTTTTCTAAAGAATTTAACATACTTGCCTTCATATGACCAATTATGTTTATTTATTAGACCATTGTTCTTTACCTAATAAAAGCATAGTGACAATAGGTGCTTTATCAAGTATGTCCTGGTTCTAAAGATAGTAACTGCTTCATATACATTATCTCATTTAACCCCTTCAGCAACACTATAAATATTATTTATATTTTATATATAAACTTAAATAAAAGAGATTAAGAAACTTGCCCAAGATTATACAAATACAGTACTAAGTGGCATAATCAGGTTTACAACTTGAATATTGGCAAAATACTCAAATTGCTGCTTTGAGTAAAAGCTTTGCTGCCTCTCAGGTAGATTCTGTGATGCTATACAGTGATAGTCTGTGGCCCTAAAATAGTTATATATAAATTCTTAAGAGTTTAGTTAGTACCATGTTGGCATCATAGAAACATTAGTGTACTGTATTAGATTTTGTAAGGAATTTAACTGGCTATCACGTTTTCCTTGTTAGCGCTTAGGATTGAGTTATGTACACCTTATTTAAGTGTGGAATGAGAGTTTATATACACAGATTCTAATGAGTAGGTTAAGAAAAGTGTTGTTTTTTCACTTTTTAAAAAATTTTTAAAATTTTTTTATTATTATTTTTTTACCTCAACTTACGAGAATGGATTTTATTTAAATCGGTACTGGAGATCGAACTCACAACTGTGCACTTGCAAGGAAGGAGCTTATACCGCTAAGCTAAATCCCCAGCCCAGAAAAGTGTTCTGATCGCCAGTCTCTAGCCAGGTTCTGGTTTTGAGTGAGACCTGCATTCTCCTTTATCAAACGGATAAAAAGACGTGGGAACTGAATGGGATGATGTAGGAAAACTGTAGTTTTTTTCTGTAAAAGGCGTTCTTTTTGGAACTTTAGAAGAAGTGTATTTCTTTCTTATGACTGCCTTTGAAGTCAGTGTGTTTACAGGATACCTTTGTGTCTGTCTGTGGAGCTACTTTGTTGGTCCCCTATGAGAACAGAATAACAAGGCAGATCTCTTCCCTTTGCGCCTTCTGCCCACATCTAATCTGATGCAAAGTCGCACCCTTTCATTGTCACAGTGACTGTGTGGAGGCTTCTCCTCCTTTCTGTACAGCCTGCCCCATCCCAACTCAGCACTTTTGGTCAGAGTGTTGGCAGCTAAGTGTACCGCGCTCTGTCACCCTTTGCCCCCATTGGTTCGGTTCTGTGGGTGATACATGTGATGACTGCCCTCTCTCCTTGGTCCCACTTTTCTCCCATCATTTCTTGGTGATTTGGAGCCTGTTCTTTAGTAGAAAGGGCCATGAGAATATTATTCCCTGAGTCCTTGCATGTTTAATAGCAGTTATTATAGCCTTTATTTTGAAAGAGGAACTTGATTTAATGTAAAATCCGTGATTGAGCTTCCCTTTGAATAAGTGCTTTTCCACCTTCTGATCTGCATGTGATTTTCTTTACTTTATACAAAGACTTAGTCTTTTTGCCTGAATACCCAAAGGCTGTTTTTCCTTTGATGAGCAGTTGCTTTCCTGGAGCTTTTGCCAGTGCTAGTTT